AACTAAAAATGCTACTTACAATGAAACTGGAGTAACTGATACATAAACGAATTGAACTTGTTTTCCAGCTATAATATAAAGTTTTGTTTTTTTTATTCCGAGAAAAGTTAATTTGTAAAATTATATATATATTTTTTTTTATTAATGACATTTATAAAATACAAATAAACTTCAATAAATATATAATCATATGTTGATTGATAATGATTCATACACCGAATGATGAGAAAAATAATACATAGAAGTGATTTTTTTTTATTAATTTCACTAATTTTGTTTCGATAAAAGTGATGCTATATATCTCATATAGGCGACAAGATGAATAAACTAATTTTTTACTGATAGACGTTGTCGTTAAGGCTCCTCTTATAATGGGATTCAGACCACAAACATTCCAATCACACGAGATTGTCAAGATGTGTTGGGAGTGTAGCGGAAAAGCTGTCATAAAATTTCCAGCTTAATACCATGATGTTTTCAAAAAAAAGGGGTCAACAATAGCTAAATTGCTAATCTAAAATTTTCTGTGAACATTCATTCTATAAACTTTATTTTTCTTTTGTTTGATAGAATGTGTCAGACTACAAAATCTGACAGAAAATTTTATTTAATTCTTAGTTTTGCGTCGGAATTTAATGGTGACAAGTCCAACACGACGAAAAGATCTTTAAAAAATGGTATCAACTTTTCAAATTTTATTGGTCTATTGGACTTGTCGTCTGTAGCAATCAACAAAAAAGTAAGAATTCAAAAAACGAAGAGCTCGATCAACACTTACAGCCTGATATGCTTTATCAAACAAAAGAAAAATAAAAAATATATGTATATATAGCAAGCGAGTTTGGAATCTAATTGAGATTGGAAGAGCAATTTTGTAATTTTCTAGTAAGAAATAATGGTAACGTATAAAAATAGAAACATTATTTATACAGTGAGTAAGTATTTTTTTTTATTTTTCTACGAAGAATATAAATTTTTATTCTTATTTTTTTCTGATAATTGTGAGATGGGGATATTGAATGATTCATGAATTTTCAACTAGTAAACAGAATTTTTTCAAGTCATTAATGAATAAAAGATATCCATTCAGGATACTTAGATAAATAATTTAATATTAAAAGCTGCTAGTGTTCCATATAGATATTTTATATTTTTCAAAACAATTGAATCGAACGTATGACGAGCAGAAGCAGGATGAGGGAGATTTTTAAAATTCAAGGTGACTGAAATCACATGCACGTCTTATCATTACGATATCAGGACATAATAAATGATTATCAGTACTAATGAAATTGAAACTTAATTTTTTTTCTCTACGTAGTGCAATTGATAATTGATGACACATAATAGTTCTTATAGAAAAATTTAGCTGTTAGTGAATGTCATTGAATCGTTTAAATTCAAAAACTGAAATATATAAATATTTTCAAAATGATATAATAAATAATTATAAATCAGGTAATTATCTCATATCTCAATAATACCAACACTTGAATACAGCAATAGACATCAAGTACTGTATTATTCATACAGTCAAAATAAGAGAGGGTGTCGGTGTTCACTAAGAGACACTATCACCCACACCCACACCCTTGGAAACCCAATATCGAAGCCCCTAATCGGCTGATTTTCCAAGCTGAAAGAATCTGATTGGTCGAAAGCTCGATATCGAAAATCCATGATTGGCTGAAACTCCAAGCTGAAAAAATCTAATTGGACGAGAACTAGATATCAAAAACATCTGATTGGCCGAAGTTCGAAGCCGAAAAAATCTGATTAGACGAGAGCTGGATATCGAAAACCTGTGATTGGCTGAATTCCCAAGCTGAAAGAATCTGATTGGTCGAAAGCTCAGTATCCAAAATCCATGATTAGCTGAAGTTCGAAGCTGAAAATATGATTGGACAAGAGCTAGATATCGAAAACCTCTGATTGGCTGAAATTTGAGGCTGAAAGAATCTGATTGGTCGAAAGTCCAATATTGAAAATATCTGAGCATTGATTGAGCTCTAAGTCGGTGTTCTTTTAACCTTCATGTTCTTTTAACCCTGATATTCTTTTGACCTTGCCACAAACAAACACACATACAAACTCATTTTCTTTCATATGACCCTCCCTTCAGTCGAGGGAATATCTAAAAACAAATAGATAACAATGATTTAAAAGAAGAAATATTATCTAAAACTTGTTATTTTTGTTTTCGTTACTTTAACTGAATAATGGTGTCATTGGGAGCTACTATTATAATTGATTGTGAAAATGTTATTGGTGATTTAAAACATATTTGGACATCAATTGATCGTATACTGAGCGAGGAAAAAATTTACTTAAAACCTTAAAAGGTATGTTAAGTTCTTCATCATTTTTAAAGCTTTTTTTATTTAGAATTTTTTCAAACATCAACTCAAATTCTTGTTTATTTTGTTTAAATAATAAATAGATGAAGTTATAACAAGACCATATTATATACGAAATCGTAATGCGTTTACAAGTAGAAATTATCTTAGTTCTCCAGCTCATGGATCAACAAATATTTATACTGAAGATGCTCATGGAAATCCAACATGTAATTTTGATATTCTTGATCAAATTTATGATAATTATCTTGCAAATAATTTCGTTCCATGTGTTGAATTTGATTTAGTTCTAAAGTCAAGTGAACAACAAGATTATGATTTAAATGGATGGAAATATCCACGAAAAGATTATAATAAATGAATAAATTTAATTCAAACATTTATTAAACATTTATATGAACTATATGATAAACAAATTGAAAATTGGTATTTTGGAGGATGGAATGAACCAAATATCGATCATTATTGGTTAGGATCATTTGAAGATTGTTGTAAATTATATGATTATCCCGTTGAAGCTTTAAAATCTATTAATCCAAATTTAGAAATTGGTGGACCAGCATTAGCAACAAATGAATCAAGTAGAGAGTTTTTAAATAGATTTTTAGAACATATTACCAATGTAATAAATTATGCAACGAAACAAATTGGAACATCAATTGATTTTATTTCATTTCATACAAAAGCTTAATAGACAAATTCATTTTGTAACTGATACAGATATAAATAAGATTTTCACTTTAAAAGTTTAAGACGTTTGTTTTTTTCTTTTTCGATGCATATTTTAATCCTCTTCGTTCTTATGGTCATAAAGTTGAACTTGAATATCCAAGTATAACACGAATCATCAATGATATTGAAACTAATTTGACGATTATTAATTGATTTCCAAAATTAAATAATATATCAATATTTATTGATGAATGTGATCGAACTGTTGGTGCTATTTATGAAATATATGATAATCCAAATTTTATTGTATGTAATACAGAATATTTTCGATCAATGATTGCTGAAATGATTTATAATATATTATCTATATCACCAAGAATTCATTTAATGATACGTTCATTATTTTATATGGAAGGAAAAAGATTATTTGAAGGTAATCGAACATTTGTAACTAATTATAATTTATATTTACCGGTTTTAAATGATTTTAAATTATTTGAAAAGTTACAAATAAAACAATTCCTCGCTGAAATAAAGAATAATAAAATTCCACTTCATGCTATTTCAACATTTAGTGAAGATAATTTTGATATTCAATTATTATTATTTAGTCATATTGATG